CCGGGGTTTAAAATGGCGCTCAACCCGTGAGATGGGAGGATATATAGTAAGGAAAGGGAAGGTGTACCTAATAATTCCCGCCATAATCAAATCACCTGTCAATGCGCCGTGTAGGAAATCCAACCTCGAGGAGAGCTTATGAAGATCAACCCCCTTCCAGGCACCTAACCGCACGTCTTTTCGCGGTCAATCTCGATCACTTTCACCTTTTCATACCGTTCAAGCGCCTTCAGTTCCACCTCAATATCGCTGCGGGACGCCACGAAAGTAGATACGTCATCGGAGTACAGTGAAACCTTGGCTCGAGCCCCTCCAGAGACAGCGATTCCACGTAGGACCGGACTGTACACCCTTTCCCTTAGCCTTCGAAGGAGAGGCCCCAACGCCAAAGCGTAAAGTATGGGAGAGAGTGGACAACCTTGACGAACCAACCGAGAAATTTCAGAAGCGCTCTCCAGCTTGCCGTTCACCTGTACCACAACACTGTGGGAGCGATACATCAGGCTATTCCAGCGGCAGAAGTCGGGTTCAAATCCGGCGGTCTGCAGGACATTAGCAAGGTAGCGATAATCAACACTATCAAATGCCTTCGACTAATCTAAATTCATCAGCGCGGCCTCATCATTATTATTTACACCCTCTATGATCGTGTGGATCAGATGCAGGTTGCTCTGAATTGTTCCGTCCTTCACAGCGAAAGTCTGCTCATGACCCAATAGATACTCGGCAACTGGCTGCAAACGCTCCGGCACGATCTTGGCCAAAATCTTTAACTCTGTGTTATGGGCCTATAGTCATCAAATCCAGCTCAACACCCTTGATTTTTTCAAAAGCGTGATCACACTCCTGGTGAACTGGTCGGAAACGAAACCCTGGCGGAACCAGTTGTTGAACACGACAGTCAAAATTGGGATAAAGATGTGCGACAGTCTCAAGTATAATTCATAGGGCAAATCATCCTGACCGGGCGACTTGCCTCTGCTGACCGTCATTAATGCCGCGTAGACTTCGCCCCCACCTCCGTGTCCTCCCCCTCTCAGTCGGCGAAAGCCGAGGAAAGTCAGCCAAATAGCTACAAATCTCCTCGTCAGGGAGACCAGGTTCTTTGGTAAACCGGCTCTCGAAATGTCATCAGTGGCCCGAAGAGTGTGCCCCATCCGGGGTTTGACCTCACGAATGTAACGACCGGAACCTCGACTGATCATTTCCTTGCACAATTCTACGCCCATATTCACTTCTACGAAATACTTTTTGCTTAACTTATATCAAATTACCTGGCCCATGAAGCGCTCTTTTGTCAAAAGCTCCACCCCCCGCCCCTTAGCTAAGTCTATCCGTAAGGGATCCCCCAGCCATCGCCCGGGAAAGATTATCCTGAAGAGCTTTGACCTAGTTAGCCTTATCTAGCACGTGCCGTTTGCTAAACTCGATGGTGAAGAAACTAATTCTATTTTTAATCCTCTCCTATCACCTATTCCCCCAAAACACCCCACGAGTTCCCGCTGCACTATATTAGTCAGCTGTTCCTGGAAATCCCACCTGTCCATTAAAGACAGATTGAACTTCCATTAGCCAGTCATTCTAGGCCTACAATCTAATGCAACCCCGGTACAAACAAGTTTGTGGTCCGAATAGCCTAACCAGTGGAACGATGTTACTATCTAGTGAATCTAAATCACGCCTCTAAATAACATTCTATTTAGGTAGCTAACCACCTAGACAGAAGACCAATTAAGAGCCCACGTCCACAGGATGTCTTGCGAGGCAACCGTCTTTCTCATCAGCATCTGATCCAATTTTTGAGCATCAGCTCAAGATGAAGATTAGAGAAGAAGAGAAAACGCTTGGTTTCGACAGAATTTAGCGAAAGCTGGGTGGTGCGGTGAGCTTGCTTCGTGTGAACGGGGCTACCCTTGATTTTCTCTTTAACCTCTACCTATTTCACATCGGTGTGGTTTTCTGTCGTGCCCTCCCCTGGTTAGGGTAGAAAAGTATTATAGGTTCCCCTGGGAGGATGCTGCATTTTTAGCAGGTCCCACACGAATTACCACTTAAAAGTGTTGGAGGCCATTTATATTTTATCGTTGAAGCCCTGTCTGTGTAAACAGGTGAACTTCGTACTGAGCCTCCAAATAATTTCCATCTAAGCAATATTCCCACCCCAATACATATTGTTCATGTTTTTAGAGATAATTCTATTTAATTCATTAGCATTGATTTAACTCTGTTGAGCGAAGTTCGAAACCGGTTAGCTAGCTAGTTTTCCAGTTTTTCTTTTTATCTATTATTATCAGGAGTGGTAGTAAAAATAAATTTTGTCTTTTCATAGCAGTCATATATTCATATATATATATATATATATATATATATATATATATATATATATATATATATATATATATATATATATATGTATGTGTGTGTGTGTGTAGATAGATAGATAGATAGATAGATAGATAGATAGATAGATAGATAGGGAGAGACTGATAAACAATCATATACATACATCTTTATTATATAATTTGTCAGAAACCATTGTTGGAACCATTTTTCATTGAATACGGCTGACAAAAAAGACTGAATTCCTTTTTTTAATTTTTTTTTTCCATCACCCAGATATTTTTCCATTTTGTAGTACATAAGGAATATAAAAAAACTTCCATAGCAGTCAAAACATGTGGAAAAAATAACATCACTAGAGACAAATCATACTTGAAATTGGCTACAGAAGTGGCCGAAAGCGCTTGATACAATATAAATGTATGGATAATTTTCATATTCATTAACTCTTGCAAAAGGGAAAAATGTTAGGATGCTTGAAAAAGTTAATAAAAAAAAAATTAATTCAATCTTCCTTATGGGCCGTATTTATGTAGATTTAATTATTATTCAGACTGAGATTTGGGAATTCTGATTTTATTATTTTAAATATTTAATTTCAATTTATTTATCACAGAAATAGAAGGAAAATACGAACGAGTGGAAAATAAAAAGCAAATTTCTCTATATTAATAAAATGAATTAATAAATAAGAATATTATATGCTCTGTAATATTACATCTGCAAGGCTTTACCTATGTACAATATATTATATTTGTACGTACTCCTACACAAATGTATAGTTTAAACTACGTAATTTCAGGGTGAGTGGATGCGCGTGAAGTATACTATTTGTGTATACCTCTGTGGTTTTCTTTACACACATTGATATCAAAAACTTAATCATTCCCCACTCTCTCTCTCTCTCTCTCTCTCTCTCTCTCTCTCTAAAATTCAAATAAGTGATGGATATTTATGAAACTTTCTGTACTTATTCGCAAAAGAATTACATAATTTTAGAACTGTATCGTTTTTAGATAATCTTGGTAAAAACATATGTTTTACATCGCTTGACCCTCGCCATTTATTTCATTTTATGAAATTTCGAGTAGTTCATTATTATACCGATCAATGTTTATATTACTTACGCAGAACTCCTTGGAGAATTTAAATCATGAAATTTGCCGAATATCTGTTTTGAATCGTATATAAAATATATTATGGGTTGAAGTGTCTAACGAAATTTTTATTACGATGCATAAATGATTATATTATTTTTTTCTTTTTTAATATATAATTATAATAATTTATAAAGTTTTAAATCTTTTCAAATTTCTTTATTAATTTCTATCGATTAGGTGTTATTGCTATTAATTAAAAAAATAAGTATATTTAATAATCATAAATCGAAAAGATCACGACAATTAAACGTCTCCCAATATTTGAAAAAAATTGTTTCATTTTTTTGTGTGTGTGCATAATTGTGCCGATTTGTGTAAATATGGACGCCCTACAGGCATTATTAGAAAAAGAAAAACGGTAATTATAGTAAATTTAAAGCCAAATTACCTAACATTCAAAAGAACATTAGATGACAAAAAATATTTACCTACTTTTTTAGATTACTGGGTAGTTACATGAAAAACGAGCCCACATTATATTACTCAAGTAATTAAAACAGTTAAATAGTTAATAGCTAAATATTCGGTTCTTAATCAAACTATAAACACGTTGAATAAAGAACAAATCAGATTAAATGACGTTTAAATCCGCTAATATTTCCCGAAATATAGTTTCCGAAAAATATATATTATTTTCCAAGAATCTTTTGTTAATATAAAGGGAATTACATTGTGGTGCGAAGATGGCTAAAATCAGCGATTTTTGTCGATTTAAAAGTCAATTTAAATTAGTTTTGACAGACACCAAATTATTTTGGTTATTAAATTTAATCTGTTAAGTTGAAATTAAATCTAAAAGAAAAGCTTAAAGACAGATTTCGTTTATTTTAACTCATTCATTTTAACGTTTTGGTATCGCGTCTCTTTGGAAGTACTTTTCATATATATATATATATATATATATATATATATATATATATATATATATATATATATATATATATATATGCGTGTGTGTGTGTGTTTGAAGAGTACCATAAATGGAATGCGACCTGCAGTAATATTATGCCAAATATTAAAATTCTCATTTATCTCTCAAACGCATCGATTGCAATAACATGGCAGCTTCCAGTCTAATACAAGGTATTAAAAAGCTCGCTTACCTCGTCGCATTAAGTGTCAAACACAGCCATTCTGAAATAGCTACATTCTTGCAATAGGTGATATTCTTCCTTTAAGAGTTACAAGATTCCTCTGCGAAATCATTTCAACAGTGACGCCAAATATAAAAATAATATTCTTAGTGGTCAAACCTTGGAAGGACAGCTGAGTTCATCCAGCTTGCTAGACATATCGATAACCATAATGCTGAGAAGATCACAGTGCTGAATCCGCTAGCAGATGAGTGTTCAACGGGGGAATGAAGTACAAATATTACATGAAGAATTGTGGGCTGATCATGCCCAAGAGAGCCGTGTGATCCGTTTGAAGCCCTTACATATATTCGAACACAACCATAGAAATCAAGTGAATTATGAAGCACACTCTGCTACCCTTGGTATGTCAAACAAATTCGCGTCTTCTTTGAAGGCGTTCTTTTTCGATCACGACTGTTTTGTAAGTCAACTTGCAAGCCGAAATTATTGCGGTCTACCGTTGATTAAATTGTACTTCAAGTTAAGAGCAAATTTCTAAATATTGCTACAGAATTTATGGCAAGATCTTTTAAATAAAATCGTTTCACCATACGCCATTTGATAAAAGCTACTAAGATTCAAGGAGTAACTAGGAGTGAAAGTAATAGAGAATACAATAAAAGAATAGAATTCAAGGTGTCCCAAGATGGCGACTGAGATTACTATATTCAATGGAGATATTTTGAGACTATTTTTAGAATTAGAAGTTGACGTTCTGGGTAAGACGATAAACAACGTCCAACAGCAAGACCTCTGATCAGGTTTGGGGAGGGTGGAACCACCTCTTAATTGCTGGTGTTCCCAGGTCCACCTGACCCTGGGTGGTTGTAACTGTTAGGGTCCAACTTATGGGCAAATAATTAATCTTGAACTGGAGTCAAAACTCTACGAAAGAGAAAAAAATAGTTTTTAGAAATAATTTGTAAAAAAAAAATATTACCAGCAATAAATTTTTGAGGAAAAAAAATATTACAAGCAATACATTTTGTAGGAAAAGTATTACCAGAAATAGATCTTTGAGAAAACAAAATATTACCAGGAAAAGCTGTTGGCATTAAATCACCCATTGAAGTTGATATGTCGTAAAACAAACCGAACCAAACCAAAGAATAAAAAGTTATCACTGACCATGGTTATTGTCATATTAGCGTAACATTACTATACCTGTAATAAGATGTCTTGCCAAATTTTTTTTATTGCAGATTGAAGAAGACAACTGTAAACTCTTGGAGTGTACACTACTAAAACCTGCTTGTTACTGCTGCCTGTTTGTAGAAAGGAATAGGACGTGAAGACAATTTGTAGCTCGATATGCAATAATAGTTTGTGCTAAACTGGGAGGAAAATGATGAGACATTTATCAAGTACCCCCAACCGATTATGGATTAACTTTTATGAGCCGAGTACATATATCTTGTTGGTACAAAAGGATCAAGTATTGTAGAAGATTGGTGAGAGATGTAGGAGGTTGGAGGGAGGTTGGAGCATCGGAGCTGGTTGAGAAATATCGCAGTTTTCCGTCGTGAATCTATAAAGACAATAAGCATATTGTTTGAAGATGGTGTTGCAAATGCATGCAGAATTATGCATGAAGATGTGAACATAGGCAAATATTGTTCTATATTTGTTCCCAGGTTGCTCAAAACGGAATGGAACAAAATCCGTTGCTAACAGCAAGGCGAAACTATATTTCACCCTCCGTACTTTCAAGACCTTGCTTCCTGTGACTTAGATGTTACCCATGATAAAGGAGACTTCAAGTGGAAGTCGTTTTAAAGACATTGAGGAGAACAAAGCAGGCTGTGACAAGGCTCCTGTATACCTTCACTTTTGATGAGTTCCAAGTAGCCCTCACAATGTGGCCGGACTGCTATAAACAAATGCATTGAAGAGGATACTAATTGAAAGCCTTTGAAATAATTAAATGTCTCTCCTGAAAAAGTCTCAAAACTTGTGGAATGATCCTCGTCCATTCAAACTTCAAAAGATCGTAGTCGACATGAAAGCAAAAAGCAAAAAACCGGAAGAGATATCCACAAGTAAGTAGTACGCAAGAAGAAACTGTTACCATAGAGCTTACGAAACAATTATTAATTTTAAGAGTGAAAATATGAGACTTACTTGCCAATAATCAGGTACCAAAGAGAAATAATCTTTCGAACAATAACCTGAATATTTATAGATAAACCACCAGTAAAATAATTTTTTTGTCGGAAATTGATTGTAATCGAGATGCAAGGTTAAGATCTATAACGTTGGATGTGCCTCTTTGAATATTGACACAAATATCTAGATATATAGCATACGCAGCAGAGGTGAGGCAATATTTGTTTTACTGCAATAAGAATATTCTCCCTAAACTTCAACGATGTTCTTTTGTCAGTTGCAGTTATGTATAGCTTGGAAGGAAAGCACATGTAATGTTGCATATATGTATTTTCTACCGATTTTGTTCCCTCAGTAAAAGATAATTGAACACTGAATACAGAATGCATCTAACCCTGTTTCCGCAACATGTGTATTGTCCACTGAAATTTTTATTTATTTTGTTCCCTCGGGTACGAAAGAAATGAAAACCTAATAGAGATTATTTCTCAGTAGATTTTCGACGATCTATTCAATAGTGGCCAAAGATCAGACGCTGAGTAATGTCAGTTGCTTGAAAGATTAATGAATACACTACTACTGCTGTTTTTATGGCATTTTTATTTAGGGCCTTCGTAATCCTCCCCAAGGTCATTTTATTTAATACCAGTGAATTTCCCTTTGAGGAAACATGGTGTTTCTTTTGCCTTCTACATCGCTTGGAATTCTTTCTTCTAGACTGACTAACACTCAGGTGTAGTGTGTTCAATCTAATCTGCTATTTAGTCGGGGCGCGAGTAGTTAACGAATAATACGTTAAAGAAGAATGAGCCTGTAGCCGAGTGCATTTCCAAGGAGATCCGTTTTCGTATCTCACCATTGTCGAATTGCCAATGTGTAACTTCTTGATAATAACGGCCTCAGGGTCGGATCTTAGCGTACGGCACTTTAGGGATGAGCCATAAAAATATACCATATATTTTTCCCAAGTCATACGAGCGAAACTGGGTAGAGGAAACTTAAGCTTGCATAATGTCACATGTCATCATAACGTAGAATTCGAGGTTACTGACCTTTATCAAGTGATGATCCCAACAAAGTAGGAAATTTCTCCCAGAAAATTTAACTAACGTCTGCTCAGAATAGAAGCAGTATCAACAAGAGTACACATTCTTGTATATAAATCATATAAATCAGTCCCATGCACACGCCGCTATGCCATTAAAATTGTTTGCTTCACAATTGCATTTAGACTTTAAATAATACCAAGTATTTACTTATAGTTGACGATGTTTTGTAATAAAATGTAATCATTATTTTTGAAGATTATGTTTTATATATCTTGTTATTTTCGCTTTTTTTCAATTTGTCTCCTTCATTTATTTATTGCTTTCTTTTTTCTACATTTTTTCATTATTTTATTTTTTTTATTTCGATTCATCATTTTTCACATTTTATTCATTACGAGTTTTTTGAGATTTTTTTTACATTTGCATCTTTTATTTCGGCTACAATATATTTTCGTTCCCCAATCTATCTCTCTCTCGCTCTCTCTCTCTCTCTCTTTCTCCCCCCCTCTCTCTCTGTTTTACTTTGTTCTCTTTTCGTTAAGTATTTTCTACTTCCACATTTTATTGTTATTTCCGCGGAATTAACAAAATGGATTTATTTTTATGTATATTTTATATAGGCTATTTGATTTTTAGATTTCGTCTCCTTTTGCAAATGGAAGTTCAAAGAACATCGAAAAAGAAGCAAGTCAAAACAGGAGTTATCTGCCCTGAGAGAAAATTGAAATGAATTTCTCTTAAGTAGCTCTACTCTATGTTTTTTTTAAAAAAAAATTTTTTTTTTCATAGTTAATTAACAATTTAAGTTTATGGATTGTGGAGTTATTTTTTTTCCTTTTCATTGGCGTTGTTTATTTCAAATTCGTGAGTTCCATTTTGTCTCGATTCGTCGTTTTTATAGAATATTTAATAAAATCAATATCCCTATAATTATTGTTGTTATCACAATTTCCCGAGCGTGTATTCTCTTTTCGTTACTCCCCCCCCCGATTCTTTGAAGCGAGGCAATATTACTTTTTTTATTCCTTGCAATATTTCCATTAGTATTGTATCCAGCGGACAATATCAGTTTAGATGACACACTAACATTGATATTAATGCTGTTTAGTTTCTATAAACCATCTCTGAGAGGGATGGTAAAATATCAAAAGATGTTTAGAACTACAAGTAAAAGAAAAAACTGTGAAGAGCCATGATTTATGAACACGGCTTATAAACGATGTATCCAGTTTCTTATTTCTTTTAGCCCAAATATACTTATAATAATATAACAATGGTTCTATTAAATTACTAATTAAATTTGAATTGTGTAAACTCGAAGTTTGAGGAAGACGAATGCTTTGCACGATCAACGACTGTGTGCCCAAATGCAACATCTGTGGAAGGATGAGGGTGTATAGATAAGAGTGCATGTAGGTCAAGACATAGCAACTCTATAGTCGGGAGCGAAATCATTCCACTGTCCCTTATCTAATATCAATATAAAGGAAAGCGATATGATGCTAAAAGAAGGAAAGACTGGAGATTTATGACTAAACATTCTTCTGAACCAAGGATACGCAACTATTTTCTAAGCTTAGGTTAACATTTGCAAAATAACAAAAATGCAGGGTTGAAAGATATAATCGTATTCCCTCTAAGAACGAATAACATGAGGAACTATTGTGTTAAATGTCATACGAACGTAGGCGTTGGTGATATATCGGAAAATGTTTGGATATATTGAAAATTACCGTTCCCATTATGCCTAAGGCTTAAAGCTTGTGACTAGATGGGTTATGTGCAATAAATAAAGGTCCGAATGGCCTACCTACCCTGCCTTGATAACAGTCCATAGAGTCTGGCTATAAGAAACCTTAATACGTTTTCGGCTAAATGATTAAGTTTAATCCTGTAAAAAGAATGCTGTTAAGCTTCATGTATTTTCATTCAATAATGATCACGAATCACTTGTTACATTAGGATTACAGGAGAACGAAAAGTACCGAAGCTGTGGCTACAGTAAATTACCCTGATGGAGTCCATCTCTATTCAGTTCGATTCAAAATTCATAGTTTTTTATTGCTCAGACTAATTCCTTATTTTAACGGTTGCGGGGTTTACCCGGTATCTATTGAGACCTCTCCGTCAAATGAATTTTTTATATCCCGGAGGAAAACCGACGAAGCTTGGTGGCCCTATGCCATTAAGCTAATCAATACGGTTCCAACGGCGCATTCTGAAGATGCGCAGACCCAATAACGATTCGAACGGTTCCCGTAGATAGCATAGCAGAGTCCACATTCATTTGTACGTGCAAATTAATAGTAAGAGTTTCAGTGAGAATTAGGATTCATACACAGATTTTTAGATAGAGCGATCCGAGCAGTGATTCGGTTGGAGTGTAGACACTTTAGCTTTCTACACTCGAACTAATTCAGTGGCGTTATGGTCACGAGAAGGACGCATGGATGCTGATTTGGGCCTGAAGACGTTAAACACGTGGTCATGAGATGCTCACACAGTCATGTTACACAGCCTATTTTGTAGGTCGGCAATTGCTATTTGCAATTACCTATTTGCTATTACATTTTGTCAGTTTTCTATCACCTGTTTATCGGCACCCTCTCCTACCGTCATCGTTTGCCTCAAACCTTTTCTCTTTCTCCTCCCTTCATCGTCCTTGCTACCCTGTGAGCAACGACCCAACACTTTCGCTGCTGAGGCACGTGACCGTTTTGAAACGAACATCTATTCAAAGTTTTTTGGACGGTTGGCATTTTGCCGCCAGTCAAACGGCCACGTGACTCATCGGATGCCTGCCAAAAAGTATCCACGAATAACAGACGACCTGCGGGCATCGAGTCGAGAAGACTTCTTTTTACATTTCTCTATGCAGATTCGGTTCAACTGCCTAGACTTAGGCAATAGACCATTTTCATAGTCAATTCGTTTGCCGAAGCTACCTTCCATCAGTGTAGGTCCGGTCTAAGCCCAAATTTCTGACATAACCTCCTGTCCAGAGCAACAAGCATTTTCGTCATAAACCCTCAGTATTGAACGGACCTGCCTAAAAAAAAAAGTAAGATACCCACAAGCTCCCACACGTGGTACCTATAGTTTCTAGATCTCTCCCTTTTTTTTGGTGGGGGGGAGTCTATACTTTTTACAGGCAACGAACGTTTTTCCAGCTCAGTAACCTTAGTGATATTCCTCGGTCGAAATCTCACTAATGACCGAATTATTTCTGTCACTAAGTTTCCTCTGATCTTTCCTTTTCTACAAAAAAAGGACATTCTTAGATAAAGTTGCCTCCCTCATACTGTTTATTCAAAAAAATAAAAATAAAAAAAGGAAACCTTCCATATAACCTTTCTCCACGTTTTGGACCTTTTCTTCTCCAAGGACACTTGGCGCCAACATAACTACGTTTTTGGCGCGCAACAGCATCCGACTATTAATGTCAGCCTCACTTTGAGCTAACTTATTTGAACTGCCCGTTCCAGATACCAAGAAATCTGCTTTGTATTCTCTCCATGCTGTACCCTGCCAAATTTATTTGTTGGAAAAAAAAAATTTATCTTGTTATGCCTTTTCTTAGCTAATGTTGTTTGTCCACTTTTTACATTGCTAACTTGTTATGAACCATTGATTTTCAAAGGAATATCAAAATACTCTTATAAGGAGAAGTTTGGTAGTCTGACACAAGGCCATTCGCAAAAAACGACATTAGGCAACCAGGCTCCTCCTATATGTTCATGCATCTCTTCACTCGTTACATGTACTTTTCTTTTCTTAGATATACCCCGTTGGTCTAACATTTAGAAATAAATTCCACGTTATATGTCTTAGAGAATTTAGCCGTCTTTTTTTATTGTTAGCAGCATCTATTTTCTTTAAGCTGTTCTCTTTAGTCATATATTCTGTTTACCGTATTCAGAGCAGTGAACCATATATCTGTTTTTGCAAGTCTGTTTATCAGTTTACGCCCACACCCGTACTCTTAATAAATAATTCACCTATTATTTATTTCCATATATTTCGACATATACCAAAATTGATATATTTCATAGGATTGATATGTGCATCAGTCTTGTATATATGACTTAATCTCTCTAATTCTGTTGTGGTGTCCTCCGTCTAAAGAGTCTATATTGGAATCTTCCACCTACTATAAGATTAGTAGGAGAGAAGGCCTTGGAAGAACAGTCGCACGGATTGTTCAACTGTCCAACTCTTTGCCTGGGCAGAGAGTAACTCGGACGAAGCTTTACCGCATGGCAAAGTTTCGTCCGGGGAGTTAGAGAGTACCTGAACCCGTTTATACGGTTTCAAAGGGAATATTTTTGGCCGAGCCTACGTTCTCGGAGAAACCCTCGTTAAACTCGGCCTTGTGCCATATACGTTCCTTGGGGGTGGGGGGGCTGTTAAATATAATAGTCGCACAGATTGTTCAACTGTCAAACTCTCTGCCTCGTCAGAAACGTCATCAAAAATTTTGATCATCGAGTGGAAGTATGCTGCCGAAGCCTTGGCGGACATTTGAGCGATATATTTTTTTTCTCACATAATTGCCATGAATTAAATAACATGATCCAATAGAGAAATAAATAAATTTTCACCAATATTGTTTACTGCTAACTTTGATCCGTCTTAATGAAACACCCTATAAGATTACTACAATTAATAATATTTATTTTATTATTACTATTAATATTATTAGTACTACTATACTACTACTCTTATTGTCGTCATTAGTGTTAATAATACTAATAAAGGAACACTTAACTGCTATTTATTGTCGTTTTCTCTCTATGGCAATGAATATTGGGTAATCTACTCACAAATAAAGTAGAGATTTCAGGCAACAGAACTGTGGTACTACAGAAGGATACTGTGAATTCCCCGCAATGAAGATGTATACTCTCCAAAATGACACGCTACTGTGGACCTAAGTCTACACGTGATAAGAGTTAATGATTTATAATGTCAAGAACACTTTCCTTTTTTAAATGTTAAACCCTTTCTCTTTTCTCCAAAGTCGAAGAGCTTCGACACCAAACAAAAATGAATGAATAAAATGAAATAAAAAATATATATATATATACGATATAAATACGATGAAACAACATAAAACAATTATTATTATTGCTTTTCTTACAATATCCATTTATTTTCATTTATTTTTACTGGAAATCGGTGTAGCTATTTAAGCTAAATTGATCAGAATATTTTCTCATATTCAGTCGTTTTAGCTTTATGTTTATCCCCAATTAATAATTATCACCTTAATCATTACACCAATTACCAATTTATTATTTATCAAAGTTCGCTCCATATACTTATCTTATTTATCTGATTGCACTTATTAACTTGAGCTTTTTTGGTTCTACATCGTAATTCACTATGTTCATTTCATGAAAGAAATGAACAAAAGAAGGTAGCATTTGCATTCGTGAAATACGTTGATGAATTCTCATTGTAACAGAAAATGCCAATGAATATTAACGTTCATCTGTGAAATCCTATAACATCGTTATTAATTGTCATCATTGCGCTATGCGGACCAATTAAGTTCCATTAATCACAGTAATATAAATGCTTTTATCAAGGTTTATTATTATTTCGCCTTACATAGATATTATTATTGCAGCTAATAAACATAGCGTTCAGATCCGATATACACACACGCTGATGTCGTCTTGAATAACCATATTAAGAAATATCAATAAATATCATTGAAACACACGGAAACACATTGCATACATAATGTTGACTTCGTGAAAGTGCTGTCATTTCGAACTGAATACTATGTCAACTGATATTAGATCCAGGTAGAGATTGCAGTTATTAAATTTAGGTTAAAAAGCAATCACGAAACCCGCTTTTGGGCAGTATCGTTCTATAAAATTTGTTTTAAGAGTTGATTTCCTACCTTCAGTGCAACATATTCTAAGTTCAAATTCTTTACCTCATATCAGGTCGGTAAGTACAATACGTGATACACGCTTGGGCGATCATGTCTCTTTCTATTCATCAGTGACTAGGCTTTTCTCTGTCTTGTTTTAATTCCATAAAATATTTATTTTAAAACAAATTTCAAGAAAATAGTTTTCTCAGTCCAGTAGGTTTTATAGCTTTTTCACTATTGAGGTTTTCTTGCCTTCCTAACCTATTATTTAAAATCATTAAAGTCGTGTGGAATGCCAACACCTTGATTATATTTTCAATTTCAAATTTTTCAAATTACATGTTGCTATTCACTTTAATTATTGCTGCTGATGACAGACCACTAGTGATTTCCTTTCTGTGATTTAGGCTAGATCTTCGTTTGCGATTCTCCAGCGCATGTCCACAATGTTCAATGAAGGATGATCTTTGCCAAGCCTATCAGGTTTAACTCGCTCAAAACCATTTTTAAAAATTGATCTTAGAAAGCGATTACAGCGGACAGTTTAGATATTTCTGAACGGGTGTATCGCCATGCATGACATCCACATGAAAGTTTCGAACTGACAAGGTTATTTTAGAATATGACTCGATGTCCAATTTAATGCTACCGTTTTTTTTTTTACAATTTGCGGTGTTGGGCAAAACTATCTCACGCTCAGTCTGTTTTATGTCCAATTTTCTTTTTCTATTATACTAAATTTGTTATGACTCATCCATATGGCGTGGTAATTCAAGTGTTTCGGATTTTAAAATTCCACCCTGTGATTTTTAAAGCTTCTTTTTGACTCATTAAAAAAGCCTTCTTAGGAACTTAATGTTGTGGTAAACCCTCTTACAGTAGAATGAACTCTTCCTTCTCTCATAAATACAAACTGCAAGAGTTGCAGAGCGCTGTGCGGTAAAACAGTAGACGCAATTCGAATCTACTTATTGCTAACACTATTGTTTTGTATATATCTTCAATATATATTTTCAAACTTTCAACCTACCTTCGACTTCCGTGTCTTTCTTCCTGGCCCTAAACAGGTCACAACACTTAAGTAGGTTCCTGTATCCTGTCTATCCAATGCCATGGCATACCCATAAAATTTACATATAGTTCTTTCTTTATTTATATTACTTGCTATTATAACATTGTGATTATATTTACTACAATATATTGGAATGAAATACGTATTTTATTTTAGTTTTTTATTCTATTATTTTCTTGAAATAAGTGATATTTCTAGGAAGGAGGGTCCTGAATTCTCTTCATATCTTTTTTTTTATTACCCTGCCTTGTTTAATGGGATCATTGATTAATTACTTATTACCCTTTCAATGGTTTGAATTCCAGAACTTCATTTCACTTAAATTGAGTGTTACCCTCGAGTAGGGAGTGCAATGCATTCTTCTATTTAAACTAAAAGGGATGAGGAGACTCATTCTTTTAAGCTAAAGGGATAAAGAGACTCGTTGATGACATTTTTAAGGGCCTAATCGTAAGCATGAATGAAGATTTTGGGTCCTAAGTTTCTAATTTGCTGACAGATTTTTATTCTTTCACCAATGTCTTTTAAATTACTGCACTTTGTAGAAAATTATTAATTGATCCAGATTGTTTTAAAGCTGAAAGAGAAATACTTATTTATTGATTCATTTTTTTATTACTTATTAACTCTTTGCAGGCTATTTAAGCCAAAATATATTTTTAGATGTTAACAAATGTTGAGAGACGATAAGAATTTACTGACACTAATTAACCCATAACGGGGGGAAGAGATATATTCTTATATTTCTCATTAGTATTTTCCCGTAAGTGAATATAAAGAAGCCGACTTGAATTGGAAAGCGCTCATCCAATAATACAGCACTTGATTTTCCCAATTGTTCATCCATCTGTGTAACTCTCTTAACATTGCTGATCATACGAGGACCGGTGTTTCATCGCGATACGGCCGTAATTCCAATAG